TTATGCTTCTTAAGACACTGTTACACCTCTTTTCAAGTCGGTTGTCCATCTGTGATGCGCATGTGTGATTGTTGTCCATTTATTTTAGTGCATCTAGCACTGACATTGCGTAGTATACAAAACTAGCTTTTGAAGGGAAAAACAGATCAGAAAAGAGGTGCAAGAGTTTGCATTTTCTAATTTTAGCCTATTATGGGTGAGGCTGCACATGCTCAGATCTGCAGAGATGAAATTGCATGCAGCACTGTAATTATTTCTTGGCCAAATTCTGAGCTTATTTTAAATGTTTATTAGCTTTAGACTATTGCATAGCATTTACTGGTTCAGTGTTTTAAATTTATATTTTTAATAAAATCAAAATGTCTATTAGCATATACACCAGTGTGTGAACTAACCATTTTAGACTCATAGACTGAGAGTGGTCTCAAAGCATCAGGCTGTGGGTGTAAAATCTTCTGCAATGAATCATTTTCTTCTTGAAGACTGTAATAAGATTGCCTCTGTAGGGGAAAATGAATAATTTAAACAAACAAATAAATAGGATTCAAGTTCAAGAGGAGGGGGAAAAGAAAAGCATATGTGCCTTTTATCAGCTAGGATTTTCAATGTTCAACCAAACAATTTTCTTGTCAAGAATGAATAAGAAAGCATCTACAAGTATAATAATTAATAAAATCACAACATGTATGTGCATCAGGAAAATTAAAAGAATAACAAAGAATTCTCTACTTTTCATTTTGGACAAAATTTGGCCAATATCCCTGTACTATAGGACATAGACTTTGTGCAAATTCTTAACAACTTTGTCTTTAATGTTATTTATTATTTTATAACAGTTGATAATATACAAGGCTGTATCCTTTTAATATACCAGTACATGTACATCAATAATAATTACCATACCAGGTACTTATTGATTCACATTAGCTAAGAATGTGAGCAACCACTGAAGATACATATGTATTAAAATTGGGGGTTATTAGCAGTATGTTTCAGAAATCGTCACAGAGTTGTAATTGGAATTGGTAATTCTTATCAGTGCTTTGATATCACAGTTTCATGCTAATATATAAAAGTTTAGTCTCACCCACTAACAGTGTTACATCGAGCTATGGTGGTATGTGTGAAGATAGGATATCACATGAGAAGAATATTAATCCATTGAAGCATAAGGTGCATGCACACACTTTATTATCTATTATTCCTTAGCTTAAAATGGCTGCCAGTATACAAGGAAGATGATGAAGATATTGAGTCATTTTAAATTGGTAAATGTTCGTCAAGCATTTTTATACACTGAAATTTTTATTTTATGTAAGTAGCATGCACATTCATAACAGAATGACAAAAATCAATTTTAACAATAAATTTAAATTTTTACAAAAATTTTAACTTACAAAAATTTAAAGCTATACAGTATACAATAATTTAATTGTGAGGACTAGCAACAAATGGAGTCACTAAAAAACAAACTAATTACACAAATTTTTAAATAAAATGTATTTAGAAAAATAATTTTATTTTAAAATAATTATAGCTAGGCAGCGATTAATTTTTTGGCAGAGTAACAATACAACTTGATATGACACTTAAAAATCAAACCAATCCATTTCAGTCAGATCAATGTCTACAGCTAAGTTCAGTATAAGCATCTTGTAATGTGTTCCCTAATCCTCTTCAACCTACAATAAAATTAATGAGTGCACGAATAATTTAGTAACAAAAAGCAGAAGCCTACAGTATAATACTACTGTATATACTAAAGTAAAGGTAATCATTAACTGATTGGACTCGCCAGGTTTGCATAGGTGGGTACTATGCAGTGGGGTTGTCATTCTGTCACGAAAATTCCTGTTAATTCCTGGTCAATATGTTTTTTACTGAGCTCTCCTGAGTTATAATTTTTTTACAGCTTTAAAAAAAAGGGGATTTATTTAGCTTCGTTGTATTTTAGTAGCAATCCGTGGTAGCAAAGTCTGAATATTTTAAAGAATAGACCACTTTTCCTAGCCAAATCTTCGTGCTTCACTCTATTTGGTCAAGATTAGCATTGATAGGTAAAGAAAAGTACCTAGATTTAAAATATTTGGGAATTTTCTTATCTTTTTTTGT